ACTAGCGCTGCATATTTTAATAGTTTGGTTAGACGACGTAACTATTATTTTAGCGCTGTAGCGAAATTTAATTCTAACTCTCACCAAAATGAAGCAAACATTTGGTTCGGGGTGTCTGTTCTATACGCTAGTAATATAGTTCTGCCTGCCTCGTTGGTCTAGTGGTTGTAGAAGTGCAACTGCTGATCATGAGATCCTGGGTAAGAATCCTGGGTCAAACAAAAAAATTAATTAAGTTGGCAGTGTCTCACCCACGTGCCTCGGAAAGCACGTAAAGCCGTTGGTCATGCGTCTGATCTCTCTCCGGTCATGTCGGTTTACCGTCCCATCGGATAATGAGAGTGAAGGAATAGAGAGTGCACTTGTACGCATACACTTGGGCACTATAATCCTGTCCTGCGCCGATGGCTAGCCTCCGTTTCAGCAGGCCGCCGTGGCCGAAATTCGGTCTGGAGGACATTATTAATATAGTTCGATGACCTTATGTAGATATGCAACGAGTGTATGACCTCGCGTGAGACTCACTTAGCCATCAGCCACTGCAGTGTCTATATCACCTGAGGATCCTGTAAACGAGTCAAAACTTGTGTCGTATTATTGACGGTAACTTAGTGTAGTGGTGTTGAGAGTAGTGGTAGTGGGATTAATGAGAGTGAGTAGTGAATAGTGCACGCAATTGAGAGAGGGTGGAAGCTACTCTTCAAACTTGGTAAAACATCATTTTATTTCATTACGCGGATCTCCGAACTAGCTTAGCTTAGCTAAGATTAGCTGATACATTTTTAACATATTTAATGCACAACCGCCATCCGTGGATAGCTATAAGGATTTTATGGTATTTCAAATGGTCACACCTTACAATACCCAAGAATAAAAGGAGTGATAGATTTATTTACACCGCCCCTACACGGCAAAGGTAAGGGATATAAGTATTACAAATAACAATAACCACCCGATAAGAGTTAATAAAATTTTAATTTGTTGGATAATCCGTCGGAAGGTAAACATTATATATTTATCTTCCAACGGATTGAATTTTATTATTAAGGAAATGCTGTAAAATTATTCTATTTTCCTGTATATTTAATTTGAACCATTGTAATTTGGACAACTATTGCGCACAAGAACAAATTGTTGGTTATCAGTCACGTATGCTAATAATCCATGTATCTTTAAAACTGTCTCCTAGCCTACCATCCCATAATACCACTAAATTTTGAAATTTAAACTCCTATTTTTTGTCCAAAAATAAATTAATACGTATTTTTTTTTCAATCAGTCTACTATAATTTTAACTGGAAGTACCATTGACCAATAGAAAACATTAATATCATTGGATATGTCTATAGGTAATGCCGTGGTAGAGAACACTTTTTGACGTCTTTACTCAACTTTTTGGTTTTTTATTCTTAATTAGAAGTATACAAGAGGTTAGATGTTGACAAAGAAGAGAAAAAAGATATCAGAGGTTTCTCCAGTTAGAGAAGTTAGTACTGGCAAGTAAAGTTTGAGAAAACCGCTTGCAAGTTTATGGATGAATTTAATTCAAGGGTCGTGCTTGGTGGAAGATTAGTAGTAGTACAGAATTGTTGATTATAATATAATCGAAACATTTTCAACCAAAATGCTTATTATAACTTGCTCACGAAGTATTTGTTAAGCGCTATTGGATAATTGAAATTCAAACAAGTGAAATCCGTGCCATCCTTGTGAGCACGTTCCAATTGAAATGTAATCCAAGGTTAAACATTTGCAAGTCCATCTCACAATCAACACCAGGGAACTGAATAATTTTATTCTACTAAAACGTTTTCTTCCATTTACGCCCGTAAGTATTCAATTCTGCTTACTTACTTAGTGTGATGAGATAGGGAATAAAGTTTTAATGTAACAATTTAGGCGAAAAATTAACGTTTGATAAAAACTAAAAGCTGCCTGGCAACCGCTGTTTTTTATATTTAGAATTGTTGTTAAATGTTAAATTGAGGCTAGGCTGTGGAAATATGTTTATTGTTGTATTATAGCCGTTATATAATAATTATTAAATTTATTCAGTTTCATCACCAACATAGCCCCCCTCAATTCCCCTGCTGAACATAGGTATCCTCCAAGGAATGACATAACACGGTCCACCAGCGATTTGTATCTATCGATTTTCCATCCAGTGCCACCCTATACTTCGCTTACTGTTACGAAACTGCTTCATAAGAACCATTCTTCCCCATCGGTATCGGTTCTTCGAGCTATATGGCCAGCCTATTGCCACTTTACCTAACTAATCTGCTGTGTTATGGTGGTTTCTTAATCTTATTTATTATTATCTATAAAATGGTGCGAACAATGCAAAGTTGCGCCCTACTTTACAATTTATAGCAATTGATCTCATGTAAGTAGCATTCTTGTCTTTTTATAGAAAAAGTATTTTTTAAACCTAACTTACTTAAAAAAGAAAATTCAAATTTATAATTAACTAAACATGTCTGTTTCCTTTTTTTACAAAGTTCCAAGAAGAGTGCCTTATTAACTCACTTAGGCATATTACTGAGAATTAATAAAAGAAATTTCCCCTCGAGCTCAGTCCCAAACGAGGCACGCAGAAACCGACCTTAAGTTACATTCTTTGTTACGAATTAACATCTCTTTTTCCTCCGCTGCAATTCCCTTTTATTGTCAATGAAAATTATTCAATTTTTTACGTTTTTTGCTTCAATAATAAAGTTTAGCGCTCCATAACTTGGTAATTGGTTACGGCTCTATGGTTTATTGGTCACTTCACCTACTACGGTATTGGCTTCAAATTTTACATTTAATATAATATCAATCTCTTTAGTTTTTTGAATCACAAAAAGTAGGCCTAATCGTTAGCGCGTAGTTTGTCATTCACAGGATGATAACCGTGCAAATGACGCCGAGAAAAAATTAGAATGTATCCATTGCCCCACTGAGTCTCATAGACATTTTAAGAGGTACCAGATTTCATTTAGTAATAAAATATGTTTAAATAAACCAACAATAGAAAAGTTAAAATATAAATAGCTTAAAGTCTAAAGCTCAGAGTACCTGACTAATGAGTTTAAATCGCAGCTGAGACTCACATTTCCTAAACCCAATTTTATGTTTTTTACGTGGTAGAGCCACGCTGCATCTTGTTATGGTTGTAGCACAAATGGGTTGGCTCGACCGGGGAAAGACCACGCTCTCACAGAATACCAGCGTAAATAAGTAGTTTAATGCTGCCGTTTTTTGTATGGTAAGTGTAAGGAACCGGAGACCTATTTTACTAGAAACAAGCCATTTCATTTTATGTCCTCAGGAATGACAAAGCATCTGCATTTTGATTCGAAATCGAGGTTAGATGAAGATATCTATAGATCACAGCATACACTTATCATCAAGTGGACTGTGTGCTTGTTTATCATCCTTTAAAATGGTTTTATGACTTCTTATAGGCGATGTAACCATATCAAACGTTTTGCTCTTTTTCCTCCGGTCGGACGAAACATAAAAGCGGAAAAAATGTCATTTCTCCAAAACGAAATATTATTTTCTTATGACAAAGAAATGCGTGCAATTTTATTTGTTTTGTATAAAATGGTAGTGACATACCGTAAGAGGTTTCTGCAAGCCATGGACACCTGCAGCCAACAACAAACAAAGAATGTTACAGATGCTTTGTCACTTCAAGGACTGAGATCACTTGCCTAGCAGCCAGTCATTATACTGGCTCTCGTTACTCTTCACACTGCAACATTGCAGGCACTGCTACTTGGCGGCAGAAACAGGTAAGGGATGGAAGTGGTAGGGTTACCACTACCACCCAGACAATATCGTATCGTAAGCAGGAAAGAATTCCTACCACTTAAAATATATTTAATTTTATTTCATACCAATCAATATAATATTTATTTTACAACAATACACATTAAGACGGAAAAAAATGAAACAAATTATATATAATGAAGATAGGCGCTCTTATTGCTCTGGAAGCGATTTCATCCAGACAACCTTTTTGCGCTTACAATGTATTTCGAATAGGGAAATTGTACATAAATTCGACAATTAAGTAAACGGAAAGAAATTAAAACACAAGATGATGGCAGTCTTTATTTTAGTTCTGAGACACTACTCAAATAGCAAATTTTATTTATATGTTGAAGTAATCAATGTTGGCTCGGTACCACTTACTACACTATATATATATATATATATATATGTGTGTGTGTGTGTGTGTGTGTGTGTGTTGTATAATATAACATTTAATACCTTTAGGTTTAGAAAACTTAGCCAGGACAAACGAACGCAATCTTTTTACTGGTACTGACAGGTTGAACTTGTCATTGCGTTGACAGGCAACGTGTTTGCCAAGATAGCACGTGGCTCACGTTGCTTGCTATTTATAAGGCAAACATGTTTAAAATATTAAGGTTAAGGGCAAACTAAAATAAGGCGGATGCAAAAAAATATGGTAAAAAATAAAAAAGTAAAATAAATAAAATTAAATTTAATCCCTTCCCTCGCGGATTCTGTGTTATTCAGATGTGTCTATAGTGCAATATCAAACTGCAAAATTAACTTTGTGAAATAGGAAAAATAAGAAGTTAAATATTAGGAGTGCATATCATTTAGGCGGCCGTAGAAAGTCAATCCAGCAAGAAATATAGTCAATGACAGTGAACTGTGAACAAGCACACAAGAGGCTACAAAGGCATATAGTATTATAATTCTCTTCAATAATACTAGGAGCACATAGCATCAGAGAGCTAACTTGCAGTGAAAGAGCAGTACAATACGTCATTGGACGAAGATGAGAATAACAACGTGAGTCACCTTATTACTGACTACACCTACTTACTCAAACAGCATTTTGCTATCCTTATATGACACGTTTATGCTGCTTTCGCGAGTATATAATATTCTACGCATATTATGTTTTCGCTCTCACGGCTGTTTTAGCCTAAGATTTTTACGTATACCGCCTAATTAATTTAATTATATTAACGATGTCGACGCAGCGGACTCCACCCGGCTCTCGTCAGCAACTGAATAAACAAAATTCTACAATGCATTACAACTCAGACTCAGCCCTTAACACGTCAAGTAACCCTGATTTGAATGACAATAATTATATTAAGATTACAAAGAGCTTTAAACGTACGTTAGACGATCTCCCATTTCAGCCGCTGTCATCCATCTCTGAAATCAAAGTTATGTTTGCTGAGCTAAAAACTCCACAAGATCAGAAATTTGAATTACTGAATACCGCCCTCATGACCATCGTGACCCAAAATCAAGAAATTCAAAAATCTGTTGAGACTCTTACTCACCAACATCAAGATTTGTTAGCAAAAATAAATCATTTAGAGCTAGAAAATAATGAATATAAGCAGCAAATCCTCACCTTAGAAACTAAACTAGATTTCCTTGAAAAATGCGCGCGGGGTAATTCAATTGAAATACGTAACTGTACCGGCAGACAGACAAACGAAAATAAGATAGTCCTGACCGATATAATCCATAAACTTGGCTTAACTTTGGGTCTGAATACTCCCATTCAGGACTTGGAGATAAGAAATATATTCCGTACAAAGACAGACGACATAATAGTAGATTTCAATTCAATACTGTGGAAGGTAACTTTTCTTTTAAATTATAAGAATTATAATAAATCCAAACGGCAAAACGGAGAAACAGTGTTAAACTCGGAACACATTAATTTACCTGGTACACCGCGCTCAATCTACATTTCAGAATACTTGACAACCAAATTAAGAAGGATTTTTTATATAGCCCGTGAGAGTGTCAAGAACAAAAAGCTATTCGCTGCATGGACCGCTTACGGTAAGATCTATGTAAAGAAAGAAGAGGGAACTAAGCCAATTCGTGTTGACAACGAATCAGAGCTATATAAACTTACTTTGTGACTTATATTTGTTTTGTCGTATTGTTTTTTCTATTTTTCTTTACTACTTAAGTTTTTCCAATATTTTTATTAATGTATTTTTCTGTTGAATTCTACAATTACTTTTATTGTATACTAGCGAATTGCAGACCAGCACATACATTATATATCTCAAGCAAACATTACATACATTCCACACATAATATTCATCACACTGCACCTTATCAAATTTTGACACAGGAATACAACAGTAAGCAATACTTCTCAATCGTCAATGTGGTTTTTTGCTGCATAACACATATCAGGCGCCACAGATACTTTTGTTCGGATTGAGGTTTAATTTTTTTCAACAAATTAAGACTTTCAAATCACGGCCGTGCCGTGATATATATTTTATTAGATATTATTGTATTTCGTAGATACGAATGCAAAATATTGAAACTTTAAATCTTGATCTGGACACTTTTCAAGTGGCTACGGCGATTATCTGTGACGTCGATGATGTAAATAACCACATTTTAAACAACAATTGTAAACTAAATATTTTGTGTCAAAATATACGCAGCATTAATTGTAATAATATGCCGAATGTAATCACGCTTCTAAATAGATCCGAATTATCCTGGGATATTATGGTCCTAACAGAATGTTGGCTTTCTCCAACGAGGCAAATTCCCGATCTTGAGAATAATCATATCATAGCAACTACTTTTCATAACACTCAAAATGAGGGAGTTGTTATATATTACAATAAAAATACTAACGTACCTTATGAGGAACCTCACATAAGTGATGCAAATTGCCTCCTACTAAAATTAAATTCATATACTTGCATTATTGGTATATACCGCCCGCCGAGTAAAACTAACATATACGATTTTATTAACTCCTTGGACTTACTTCTTTAAAACTAAGTAGCTATAAAAATATCATTATTTGTGGTAATATTAATATTGATATAATCTCTAATACCTCCGATAAGCGCTCGCATGATTATTTAAACGTACTAGGAAGTCATTGTATTCTACCTGGCCATACTATACCCACCCATGGACGGACATGCTTAGATCACGTAATGATAAAAACCTACCTGGAAGCAATCTGTTTCGTTTTTGAATCATCAATTACTGACCATGAGATCGTAGCTGTCAGTCTCAATCAAATCACTTACTCTTCGCAATTTAATAAAAAAATTATAATCGATTTTGATGGATTAGATAAATCGATATCTAATATAAACTTCCGGCCAATTATTGAAAGTACTGATGCCAACTTAGCGACAAATATACTCATATCGTACTTGTATAGTGCCATCGAAAACAACAGTAGGTTGGTTAAAACTCCTATTAGACAACGTATTAGTAAACCGTGGATAACCAAAGGTCTGCTTCGGTGTATGAGGAATAGAGACAACCTCCATAAAAAATTGAAAAAAAATCGCACCGACGAAAATATCAGGATTTACAAACGTTATAGGAATTTTTGTAACACGTTATTAAAAAAAGCGAAACTAAGCTACGAAAAACAAGAAATAAAAAATACTAAAGGCAACAATAAGAGACTATGGGAAGTCATAAAGAAAATTAGCCGGTGTAAGACACCTGATCAATCCTCTTATCAGATATCTTCTTTCAATTCGGAAGAGAGAAAGGAGAGTGTAAATAATATTAACACTTATTTTGCCAATGTAGGATCAAGGCTGGCCGAGCAAATAAATTGTTCAAACCGACAATTAGCTGCACCTGATGGTAATTTTTCTCCTCTCTTTACTCAAACCCCTCTTAACTCACTTGTTATGCTTCCTTCCGACGAAGCAGAAATCTCCCAGCTCATTAAGGGGTTAAAAGACAACTGCGTTGCGGGAAGTGATCTGATCTCCGGAAAAATTATAAAGAAGTATATAAAAATATTAATACCCCCAATTTTACGAATATGCAACCTGGCCTTAGAAACCGGTGTATTTCCTGGTGCATTTAAGATAGCTCTTATCACACCCATCTTCAAGGGAGGTGATAGAAACTCGGTCGTTAATTATAGGCCGATCTCTATTTTACCAACCTTATCAAAAATTATGTAGCGACTAGTCAATCAAAGGTTGGTTAGCATTTTTGGAGTCAAATAACTTTATTTCACCCAATCAATTTGGTTTCCGACGCGGTAAGACTACTAATGATACTGTTCATGATCTTATTAACACGACTATACTTAATTTAGATAGAAAAAACAAGTGATTAACAGTGTTCCTTGACTTGTCTAAAGCTTTTGACACAGTCTCTATACCTCACCTCGTAAAAAAACTAGAAAGGGCTGGTGCAAGGGGTATTCCATTAAAACTGACGGAAGATTATTTGACCGATAGAAGACAACGGGTCCGTTTAGATCATTATATATTAAGTGATGAGTTACCTATCAAATTTGGTGTGCCACAAGGCAGTATTCTCGGTTCGACACTTTTTTTGGTATATATCAATGACCTATGCCAACTTCAGCTCTCTAAAGGAAAAATAATCACTTATGCTGATGATACTGCCCTTTTCTTTGCCGATGGTTCCTGGCATATTTTTTTTAATTTTTTGAGTACGCTCGATGGGATTAAATAAGGTCTGTGAATGGCTTAGTTACAATGTCTTAACACTGAATGTTGATAAAACAAAGTACATTGCATTTGGTCATAGAGCTAACCTCCTTTCATTTCTATTTTTGACAATCACAGCCTACACCTGTGGTCTTAGATTTCCCGGATGTCACTGTCCCTTAGTTGAAAGAACCGATAAAATCAAATATTTTGGCATTTTGATTGATCAGACTTTAACGTTCAAACCCCACTTTGAAGCTTTAGTATCCCGTCTGCGAAAACTTATATTTATATTCAGAACCTTAAAACATATAGCAGAATGCCGTGTTATAATGTTAGTTTACTTCGCTTTATGTCAATATCTGATTGAATTTTGTATAACATCATGGGAAGGAGGTGCCAAAACATATCTTATAGAAGTAGGGAGAGCACAACGTGAAATTTTCAAAGCAGGTGCTGGTCTCCTTTTCCATTTTCCTACAGACGAGCTGTATAAAAAAATGGGATGTACTAACGGTTAGACAAACCTTCATCCTGCATATCGTACTTAAACAACATTCTCATCTACATTATAACCCCGATTTTCTCAAGGATAAGCGCCGCAAAGATATAATTTGCAAAACTCAAACTTTCAACTCAGCTCTTTCACGTAAGTTTTTCTGCTTCATGGGACCCTTTCTTTATAAAAAACTAAATAAAATTTTAAACATATATCCCAAAACCAAATCTAGTTGTAAAATAACATTAACAAAATTCTTAAAAACCCTTAATTACCAAGAAACTGAGAATCTTCTTATAACCCAACATTAATACTTTTAATTTTCTCAAACCAGTAAATTACTCATATAACAATTTCTAAAACCGCTATAACCGAATAACGATACTCCAGCACGCACACACGCACGCACGCACGCACGCGCGAACGCGCGCACGCGCGCACGCACGCTCACGCACACGCACACGCACACGCACACGCACACGCACACGCACACGCACACGCACACGCACACGCACACGCACACGCACACGCACACGCACACGCACACGCACACGCACACGCACACGCACACGCACACGCACACGCACACATTATATGAATTTTACAATTCGCCTATAATATTTCCCTTCTGTATTGTACTTTGTAGTATATGTAACCTATCCGCGATCATAGCCACCAGTCTCTCACAACGTTAGGTCCTTACTACATTATTATTGTTAACTAGCCAGTAAGAAGTTGTGAAGAGATCAATAAATAAATAAATAAATAAAAATAATTAATTATTATATATACAATTATTATAAACGAACGGATACATCAGAATCTCGTAAGCAATTTAGTGGTATCACGACTTTATTCTTATTTTGGCGCAATATTTGAAAAAAAAAATGTTACAGAAGCAAATCATTTTTTTAACAATACAGCTTAATGAAAATTTACTGCTGAACTGATGCCAATAAACTAATGACAATAGAAGTCGCATAGACGCGTGACTTTGTCGCCGCTATTATGATGTGTTGAGGAACAAAATTCACCATTTTGTGATTTAGTTGTGCTGGGAACGTTCTAGGTGAATTAATATTATTATATATTTATAATGGTGAACTGCAGCATAATGAGTTTTAAAACCACATCAAGGACGTGTAATTCAACTAATAAAGGCAACATAATATTTCGTATAGATAAATACTTTACTATGATATTTACCTTTTTAAACTTTCATTTATTACTTTTCGTATTGTACAATTACCATTGGTGCTTTTGTTCTACGTTGACAAACTCGCCACGAAATGTAATCTGAAACATTAGATATCATTGTGCATTGTGCGTATATTTATAATACGGTAAGATGTGACGACATCGGTTTTAGAAGTAATCGAGCGCTAATTCATTTCTATTGTCTTATTATTATTATTTGTGATAGGCCTCTGTACAGGAACGGGAGGCAGGTGCTCTTCAATGATTGATTTATTGAACGTTTGTTGGTTATATTTAAGTCGTCTTATTGCTAACAGTATGTATCAGGTAATAATCAAAATTTAAAACAGACAGATCTTATAACTAATTGCACGACATGCTGTGATTGGTTGCTAACAATGACGAGCTCTGATTCGTAGCTAAAAGTTTGGTGTTCCGGTGCGTCGCTAGGCGGCGTTAGAAGTCGCGCCAACATGCCGGCCGCCTTGGAAGCTCCAGCTTCCAATGATGTATCTACATTGCCGCTTGATTGGAGATACCGTAGGCTGCATTCATGTTGTCGTCCTCTGCTGATGATACAGGCAGAGGGCAGATTTTCGAGAACGCTCGTTGTACAGGATCCGTAGCAGTTGGTGGCGACACGCGACACGCCGTCTTTTCCGGGGAAAATATGGGTAACTCTGCCCATACGCCATTTAAGGGGTGGTAAATTGTTCTCCTTAATAACGACAAGCATGTTTAATGCTATGTC